TGTTTGTGATCCACTCAACCAGGCCACGCACCCCTCCCCTACATCCCTACCGTCCTCGCCTCAGCCACCCTCTCCCTTCTCCGGTGTTTGAGTCTGCTATCCCAGTTTGTCCACTCTTAATGAATCACATTTATTTACTGCCATCGCTATACTCAGTGCTCAAGGCGCATCCCTATTTAACCCATGTATTATTCCTTCGTTATACAAATTTTTGCTACTCGAGCAGACTCCAAGGAACGTATTTACTCGTATCATCGAGATTTTACTGTACACTTTATAATGGAATAAGATTCATATTGCAATCACTTGAAATAACAAAGGTAAAAAGTGATGTAAAAACATTTTCATTAAGCGTAAACAAAAAATTTGTTCTACTCGCACTTATGTATAGAAATAATTTTTTTAGCGTGATAACTCATATAAAATTGTTTGTAGATAATTTATTTACAATACTAATGCAACAAACCCCACCCTTTATGTCAAATAGCAAGTTTGCTATGGCTTATTACGTACAATTATCTCTCGTGTGGTGCAGTCAAGTGTGGTGGCAGTGACCGGCCAGACCCCAATCTTGCCGGAGAGCACCTCCCTAAACATACGAGTGTTAAAATATGGAAAACATTTATATTTTATTGGCAACCTATAATACTCTACTTATACTAAAAAGACCTTATTAAGAATAGTTAGCTAAGCTTTACCATTACTTGAAGTTTCAAACAATATGTTTCTCGTAAGCAAAATTATTATGTAATGAATGTTTTTACTTATTAAGGCTATTATTGGTTTATAATCATTGTGTACACCAAAAATTGCCATTGAAAAATTGTTTGGTAACATTTTATTTATGTATCGTTACAGTATCTCAGCTTTATTAGTGGGAGTTTATGGTAAAATGTACTTCTACTTATAAAATTTGTATTTATGAAGGTTTTAAAAACGGAACACTCATGTAAATTGCGGCCTTCTTGTACTGTAAACTGATAATGTGGGTGGAGTTGCAAATGAGTTAGCCAGTGTATTGTGCTGAACTAAAACAAGGTTGCTGTATGTTTGTGAGAGTAGGACTAGGATGTAGCAATCCGTTAATAATTTCTTTTGGGGAAGTTAATATGGAAACATGAGGTTCAACAGAATCAGAAATGAGGGTCTCTCATCTTCCTATGGTATAATAAAGGTGATAGTGGGTCCCATAGGCATGACTGCCTGTTATGGACAGTGTGGATACAGCACACTGTATACTAAGTTTTCATTACACAAGGAAGCAGCATGGCTGGTACTGCATTCGACCGCCTTCACTATCCCAAGTTGCAAACTTATGTACCCACAGCTGGGTAAACTGTGAGCACCCGGGAATGGAACTACCGACCCCTGGAACAGGAGGCAAGTGCTGTATCCACTTGACCACCATATAACAGTAGTGTTACAAATTTAATGATCAAACATTGAGGAAGAGCGGATATCGTAAGGCAGCATGGAGTATGTGGATAGAATGGATGTTTTGTAGAATTATTATTAAAAAATGAACTACATAAAATATGAGATGAATGGGAATAAAAAGATGGAATTGATATTTGGAAGGAATGGAATTTGGATGAATGGAGTACAGTACAACAGTACACATTTAGGATGACTGACTGCATAAATGATAGCATAGAGCAGTGTAAGAGCCTAACTTAGCTAAGCAGTGACATGTTAGTGAAAATCAGGGGAATCAAATGACACTGTTGTTAACCCTTTCACCGCATGTCACGCACTTGTTATTTTATTCTGGCTATCGCCAGACAATTTTATTCAGCTTCGGGTAACCTCCCGCTGTGAAAGGGTTAGTGACATTATACTACTATCAAGTACCATGAGTCTAGTAGTCTACAAAACTGTGAAACAAAGCCAACAAGTTAGATAATATTATTTGTTATTGTCATTTGGCTTTAACCTTTATATATGACACTGATGAGGCATTTATGGTATTTCCACGCTAAGCTGGCCTGTGAGCCCGCCCTAGTCTATAGCTACAAATAGCCGATTGGTTTCTCCGAGTGTCTTACCTCCTCCCGGACTATGCGTATATAAGCATGTATTTATATGGACCTTTTATGATAAATATTTAAAATTTTCTAACATCCTCTCTGAAATGCTAATGCCTTGAAATGATTTGAAATTTGATAATCCATATATTTAACATCATTTTCGATAATAACAGGTCTACTTACCAATTGTGAACACATTTAGTTTGATTTTCAATGAACCAATCAACTATTAGTATAGAAGAGGGACAAGGCCTACAGGCTAGGTTAGTGTGGAAAGGGTAGAATTAAGGTTTTTGTTAGACAATTAGCAACCCTCAGTAAGTTATTACTTTTTTTTTATTAATTCCCAATGAAATAAATTATTTTGCATGGTTACGGAAATGGTAAAATGAAAGTGATATCTCTGTTAGCAGGAACAATTGGTGCAGAGCACTTCCGGGTATGAGAGATTTCCTGGTAATGAGGTGACTCTCAAACCGAAAAAAATCCTTCATGCCCGGCATTTTCCGGGGAACGGAAAAAATTTTCTTGGAAGTTCCAGAAATTGCACATTACACCATTTCTCGAACCCGGAAAAATATCCCATCCTTGGGATTTTTCGGGTACCTGTACGAGAAAATTAGTGCTAAAATTTCAGAAAATGCTCCTTTTTTCACCTCTCTCAACCCTGGAAAAAAGAACCTCCCCTATCCCGGGAATTTTCCAGGTACTGTACTGGGAAAATTTTCTAGTACAGGGGTTGCCCTACTTACGAACTGGTTAGATTCTTGAGGTCTGTTCGTGAGTCCAACATTACTCTTGTCAATACTGAAAACTGTATACAGTATTGTAAAAAAGTTTGTACAGACAGCTATACCCCAATAATACTTGACAGTATTTCTTACCAGCCTTAAACGGTATTTTAATGTATGACCAGCATGTACTGTATAGTAATAATAAATAAACACTCTCATCATGTTTAGCCTTTATGTTTTCAAAGAGAATTATGGCCTTCCGCTGAATTAAGTTAAGGCTTATAGGCATCTGTGCTGATGCTGGTCTTCCAGCCACACACTCAAAAAGTTTTTCCATCTCTGCGATCACTGACCCTCTTTTCTTACTGATGATCGTGGAATGCATTGGCTAAGAACCTTTCACATGTTGCATAATGCGCTCTTTGTCCTTCAAAATTGTCCCAACAGTCGAACGATTCATCCCAAGAGCATTTGCTATGCTTATCATTTTCTCACCTCTTTCACAACACTTTATAATGACCACCTTAGTTTTCAACGTAATAGTGCGATGCTTTTTACTACCACCATCACTACTGGCATCACTCTTACGCTTCTGAGTCATGTTGGGGTAAATAATATTCGTCAAAACCACAAATAACAGTGAGGCAGCAGAGGAACAACAACAACAATGGCGCTAGGGTACAGGGTGACACTGAACAGCCAATGCCATCTATTGAGTGGCGATTGAACTTATGACCGGTTGCGGTTTTCCAACAGGCAATTGGACATATGGACAGGTTTGTTTATATCTCTGAAAGTTTGCAACTTGAATGTTCGTAGTGCCCATTGGAAAATTTTTCCCAAAGCCGGAATTTTTCAGAAAATTTCAGCTTTGGGAACGATTTTCCAAGAAAATTTCAGTTCCATGTCGGAGAGGTCTAGTTAAGAGAAATTCCGGCTAATGGATATATTACTGTATCTAAATTATTTGAAAAAATAATTTTTTTTTAAATATTGCTTGTGAATTTGCAGTTATAATTGATCAAGTAATGCTGCGGTGCTGCAGGCAGCATTGTGTAAGGGGTAGTAGTAAGGAAGGGACAACCTGGAGTATGCTGACTTTCGTTGCCCAAATCTGTACCAAAAGAATTCTACTCCGTGATGATAACAAATACCATTGAGGGGAAATTCCAGCATCCGAATGCTTTTCACAGCATATTAGATTGATCTGAATCCTGTTTACATGGATATGTGAAAAAAGTGGGTAAACATATTTTAAATTAATACTGTAGTGTAGTTTTCATCTTAGGTTCTAGGTCTGGCAGTGGCATATCATTTTACCCTGCAAGAGTAGTGTGAACGAGGTACCTGGTATGTGTACCTGAAGAATACCGAGGAGTTCCATACTTGTAGCTGTGGAGTGTACCCGAGATGTGGTGCTATAATATAACATGTGATGCTATACTCTAACATGTGGTGCAGTCTGATGTGTTGGGTGTTATGGTAAGAAGGAATGACCGGGTTAAGGAGGTCATTGGTTGTTATGAAGAATGAAGATGATAATCGTAGTTATTTGATGAATGACGTATACTGATGTGAAGTGTAATGAACATAATAGTGGCTATTCTGATGAAGGCCAAATCTTTTTGTAGTGTGACTGGATGCAATATGTTTTTTATAAGAATAAATTAGTTAAGTCATGATTGATGTTGTACCCTTCTTCCCACTCTCGATTTGGTCAATGAAAAATCCAACCCAATGCCTGGCTCGCTCTGCCAGCTACCTAAACAAGCTACATACTGTCTAGGGGGTCTGGTGGCAGCGACCTTAAAATTAAGAGTAGATTTAAGTTATCCCTTTAGGATTAGTGACCCCAGAATGGGCAGTATAAACAGTCTACTGCAAAATCAATACATATTGCATATTTGGGGGACAGATTTTCAAGCAAATCCAAGTTTCAAAAGTCTGGACTCCTATTACAGCAGGTTTAAATAACTAAAATTCAGAAAGCTATATACAGCATACAATTAAATAATACATTAAATAAAAAAGATATTTTAATTTCTAAAGGAAGAAATTTTATAGGGTTAAGCAATGCTTACCTTGCTTCTTAGGAATATGCACAACTGGAGTTAAGTATTTGGGGAAGTTTTAGAAAGAAATAACCTACTTAGTGTAAATTGATACAACTCATAATGAAATACATGTACAGTATTCCATTATGGGGAAAACTTAATAACAAAGAATAAAATAGCCAGATGTTTTAATTATTACTATTATATATAACTATAATTCACTCAATAAAGTCAATCTTGCTCACCATCTTCGGTTTTCTATCATATTAAGTGAGGGCATCATTGCTGCCATATTCTGTGTCGGACTCGGCATCTGGCGTGGAGGTGCGGTCATCTTCACTCTTCCCAGCTGTGAAAACTTTATCCACTGCTGTCCCTGATAAAGATCCAATTCCAAATTAACCAAAACTACTGGTCATCTTGCCTAGACACCACAAAACCTATACTTAAGAGAGTTGTGAAGGAGAAACACATATGCCACAACTAGCGCAAAATGGTGGGGTTGATCCTGAAATCCCTTTTCCTGGTAGTCTTTAGCTACGTAACTTCTTTTAAACAGACTATCAATTGAGAGAATTCATTGTCCTTAAATGACTCAGCCCAATTACCTCCACCAATGGGCGGACAACTCTCCCACCAGATAATTTCATCACCAAGTAATTCTATTAAGTACCATGTTATACTTATTAAATTTAGATAATATTGTCTTTACTTCTGAGGGTATGAAGCCATGGTTGGGCTAGGTTAGGTTTATACTGGATTTAGATGTTTGTGAATGAAAACAAAACAACAACTAATGCTAGTGAAGGTTGGGACTCTGATGCAATAATGAAATTTATGTTTTTATGGTAACTAACACCAACCAGAAACTTCTAATTTATAAACGTACCGGTGACGAAATGACCAGGTGACAAACTGTCCAGTGACGAATTGTCCTAGAACCCTACCCATCACACTCATCTTGCCAAAATGGAGAGATAAGCTACAAGTTGTCCTCTAGATACAGGAGACCTAATAGAAATTGTGTCTGACCAGTCAGGACATCTAGCATCTATAGCTATGGTTCCATCATCTTGTTCAGGACCAATTCCACTCTTTAAGCCAGTTCCTGACCAACTAAGCCATGAAACTCATATAAGAGGGAAGAGGTCTAAGCTAGCCAGCTACAGGCTCTGTTATAAAAAGGAATTTCATTATCAATCTTTGTATTTCTGACATAAGCCTTTCACCAAGGAGCTTCACATAATTCAAAGTTCATTAGACATGAAGGAGGAGGAGAAACAGCGGGGTCTCATTTTGCGTGGGTATATCATACTGGTACTGTACACGTCTGCACATCAGAAACTCACACGCAATGTACTTTAACACGTGTTAAAATTGCTACAGTAGTGTAACCAACTTGACTATCCCAAAATGACGCATAAACTGCATCTATATTATTAATTAAATATTTTAAGAAAGCCCAGGAAGTTAATTATGCAATATTCCACTGAATAGTGGAGGTATAGAAAATTCTGGGAGATGATGTGAATTTGAGGCAGAGGGGTGAAAGCTAGTATAATTAAAAAAAAAAAAAAAACTGCAAAGACATGGAAAGCAACTTCAGCTCCATCACCAATCTCCAAAGAAGCGGGTCAACGTTAATGGATTTTCCTTGATCCCCTCCTCTCCCCATGAGGTATGTTTGTGCAAACTGCAGCGCACAAAGAAATTATTTATTTTCTTATGTTTTGACCTTATGATAATTTTGTTTGCACATTCTGTATGAATGACTGTGTGTGTGTATACAAGAGAATAAAAACAACAATAAAACAGCTCACACCACCCACCACCACACCCACCACCACACCCCATCACCACCCACCACACCCCACCACCACCACCCCACACCACCCACCACCACACCCCATCACCACCACTACCTCACACCACCCACCACCACACTCCCATCACCCACCACAACCTCACACCACCCACCACCACACTCCCCATCACCACCACCAACCACCCACCACCACACCCCATCACCACCACCACCACACCCACCACCACACCCCATCGCCACCCACCACCAACCACCCACCACACCCCACCACCACACCACCCCACAACCAATCCACCACCCCACACCCCATCACCACCACCACCACCCACCACCACCTCCCCACCCACCCACACTACCCCACACCACCCCACCCCACCACACCCCATCACACCACCACCCCACCACCACCACCACACCCCATCACCACCACCACCACACCACCCACCACCACACCCCATCACCACCACCACCCCACACCACCCACCACCACACTCCCATCACCACCACTACATCACACCACCCACCACCACACTCCCATCACCACCACCACCACACCCCACCCCACCACACCCCATCACGACCACCACCCACAACCACCCACCACCACACTCCATCACGACCACTACCCCACACCACCCAACCACCACACCCCATCACCACCACCACCCCACACCACACCACCACCACACCCCCATCACCCACTACCCCTACCAACCCCACCCACCACCCACAACCACACCCCATCACCACCACCACCCCACACCACCCACCACCACACCCCCATCACCACCACACCCCATCACCACCACACCCCATCACCACCACCATCTCCACAACCAATGACCACACCCACCACCACCACACTCCCATCACCACCCCACTCACCACCACACTCCCCACCACCACCACCACCTCCCCCACCACCCACCACACCCACACCACCACCACCCCACACCCACCACCACACCCACCACCACACCCCAACCCCACCCACCACCACACCCACTCACGACCACCACCCCACACCACCAACCAACCACACCCACCACACACCCCACCACCACACCCCACCCCACCACACCACCCCCACACCAACGACCCACACCCACCACCACACCACACCATCACCACCACACTCCATCACCACCACACTCCCCATCACCACCACCCCATCACCACCACACCCCCATCACCACCACACTCCCACCACCACACTACCTCACACCCCACCCACGACCACACTCCCCCATCACCACCACACTCCCCACCACCACACCCCATCACCACCACACTCCCCATCACCACCACTCACCTCACACCACCCACCACCACACCCCATCACCTCACCCACCCCACAACCACCCACCACCACACCCCACTCCACCACCACAACCCCACACCAACTAACCACCACCCCAACCCACCACCCCACCACCACACCCCATCACCACCACACCCCAACCACCACACCCCATCACCACCACCACCCCACACCCACCACCACACCCCATCACCACCACCACCCCTCACACCCCACCCCACCACCACACTCCCCATCACCACCCACCATCACACCCCCATCACCACCACACTCCCATCACCACCACACTCCCCATCACACCACCACCACACCACCCACCACCACACCCCCATCACCACCACACCCCATCACCACCACACCCCAACACCACCCACCACCACACCCCATCACCACCACTACCCCACACCACCCACCACCACACACCCCATCACCACCCACACACCCCATCACCACCACACCCCATCACGACCACATTCCCCATCACCACCACCACCCCACACCCCACCCACCACCACACTCCCATCACCACCACCTCACTTCACACCACCCACCACCACCACCTCACACCACCCACCACCACACCCCATCACGACCACCACCACACCACCCCACCACCACCACTCACCTCCCCAAAACCACCCACCACCACACTCCCATCACCACCACCACCCTCACACCCCACCCACCACCACACCCCCATCACCACCACACACACCACCACCCACACCACCCCACCACCACCACCACCCCCACACCCACCACCCACACTCCCACCACCACACCCCACCACCACTCACCCACACCACCCACCACCACACCCCATCACCACCACTCACCACACCCACCCACCACCGCACTCCCATCACCACCACACTCCCATCACCACCACCACACCCCCATCACAACCACTCACCACCCACACCACACCCACCACCACCACACCACCCCACCACCACACCCCATCACCACCACACCCCATCACACCACACCCCATCACCACCACTACCCCACACCACCCACCACCACACCCCATCACCACCACCACCACACCACCCACCACCACACCCCATCACCCACCACCCCACACCACCCACCACCACACCCCATCACCACCACACCCCATCACCACGCACTCCCACTCCACCACCACACCTCACCACCACTACCTCCCACCACCCACCACCACACCCATCACCACCACCACCTCACACCCCCACACCCCACCCACCACCACACTCCCCATCACCACCACACCCCCACACCACCCACCACCCCACACCCCACGACCACCACCCCACACCCACCCCACCCACCAACACCCCATCACCACCACACCCCATCACCACACCCCCATCACCACCACCACACTCACACCACCACGACCACACCCCACCACCACACCCCACCACCACACCCCATCACCACCACACCCCACCCCACACCCCATCACCACCCCACCAATCCCCACCCACACACCCCACCACCACCACCCCAACACCCACCACCACACCCCACCACCACACCCCATCACCACCACACCCCATCACCACCACACCCCATCACCACCACTCACCTCACACCACCACCACCACCCCATCACACCACCACCCCACACCAACCACCACACCCCATCACCACCACACCCAAACACCCCACCCCACCCACCACCACAACCACCCACCACCACACACTCACACCCCATCACCACCACCACCCCCACACCACCCACCACCACACACCCCACCACCACACCCACCCATCACCACCACCCCACACCACCCACCACCACACCCCATCACCACCACACCCCACCACCACCACCCCACACCACCCACCACCACACTCCCATCACACCACCACCACACCACCCACCACCACACCCCATCACCACCACTACCCCACACCAACCACCACCACACCACACCACCACCACACCACCCACCACCACACTCCCCATCACCACCACCACCCCACACCACCCACCACACCCCATCACGACCACTCACCACAACCACCCACCACCACACCACACCCCATCACCACCACTCACCCCACACCACCACCACACCCCATCACCACCACACCACCCATCACCACCACTACCCTCACACCACCCACCACCACACCCCACTCACCACCACACCCCATCACTCACCACCACCCCACACCACCCCACCACCACACTCCCATCACGACCACCACCACACCACCCACCACCACACCCCACCAC